TCAAGCCCAAACTCCCCCCGGCCCCCAGGCAGCCGTGTGGCATTCTGAAAGGAGTGAAACTGACCCAATAGGCCCACAGACAGTTGTTGTTGTTTTTTAAATAAACATAGAAATTGACTTTTCTGGTCTTAAAGCTTGAAACTCACCAGATCCAGATAATGAGACACCAGGCCCCTCCTTCATCATGATTCCCTACTTAGCCCTTCTGAGTTCCTGTTTTCCCATACATAGTTACATTTCTTCCCTGCTATATAAACCCTTTATTTTAGTCGGTTAGGGAGATGGATTTGAGACTGATCTCCCATCTCCTCAGGTGCAGCACCCGATTAAAGCCTTCTTCCTTGGTCTTAATCATTGTCTCTGTGATTGGCTTTCTGTGTGATGAGCAGCAGAACCTAGACCAAAGCCCTGGTGTTTCAGTAACAGACCTTGTCTGAAGACCTGGGAGCCACCTAGGTGAGCCCTGGCTGGCCGAGTCTTCAGACAATGTTGAACCTGTCTCTGCCTGAGATGAAGATAAAAGTAACCGATGCTGCTCACTGACCTCACTGCAAGGTGCTGCAAGGTGCTGCGAGACAAAAATGTGCATGCGCTCTGCAAATTCAAGTCCTCGTCAAGATTAGTGACCATTCAGAGCCCTCCCTCTGGTCCCAGGGGAGCCCCCGGCAGAGGACGGTAAACTTGAATCCCCTGGGGCCCTCAGGAGCAGGAACTCAAAGCAGCCCTCTGAAAATCTGAAATTTCTGCAGCATCTCTTGTTTGATCTTCAAAGCTCATACAGGCTTTATGTTTCACTCATAATCCATTAATTTATTTTCTTACTAAGAGGACATTGTAAATTAGTTACCATCACGGATGCACCTGGCCAGTGAGGCCCCAGCAAGTTGTGACAGGCACACTTGGTGGCTCTCCCAGACACCAGCTCTCATGGCAGTTTGATCAGCATGATGGCTACGGAGATCCTCACAGTTCCTTCCGGGAAGGGTTCAAATGGCCAACGTGAGCCCCATTATTATAGGACCTCGCTGGTCTCTGTGTAGCCGAGATCATCCAGTAAATCCTTGTCTACGTTTGGGTTCCCCCAGAAGCAGAGCTTCAGACAAGGACTTGGTGCAGGTGATTTGGGGTGAGGGGAAGGTGAGCCCAGGAAGCAGGAGGGAGGGAGTGAAAGAGTAAGAAAAGGAAAGAGGAAAAGCCAATACCCAAAGGCTTTGGTGAAGCTACCGCTGTGGGTCATGGGGACCTGGTTCCTCTGGAGGGGACACACAGAACACCCCTGAGATTGCCCCACCCCATCCAATGCGAGTCAGAGCCAGCTCCTGCGGTCAGTGCTGGCAGATTCCGGGGGGAATGAGCTCACCCACACTCCCAGACTGGGCTGGTACCTGGCAAAGTGGGCTCCCTGGGGCCCCGGAGCGCAAAGTGAAAAGATGCCCTGTGCTCCTGGAGTGCGGATATTGTCAGGCTGCAAAGGTCCGGACACAAACAGAACCTTCCAGTCAGAGCTAGCTTCGGTCACATTGGTCCAGGCCTGACTGCTCCTACAACCCTCAACCCTCTGGGAAGCCTAGAGCTTGAGTCCTTCCTCACAGCAGAGTTCACCTTGGGCTGAAATAGAAACACGCTATAACTGTGGGAGGGAAGCTTTCTAAGTCATATTACCCACTCAGCCTCGATCCAGCACCTCCATGGATGGTGCTTCCTTGATAACTCAGGCTCATCATGGATATGGCCACTGCCCAGAGATGAGAGGTGCACCCCGGAACCCATCAAGGGCAGGGCTGTTGGACTCACACTAGGGAACCCCCCAAATGCTCTGTTTCTGCATTGTGTGGCTGTTCTGATACCTGTGGTATCCTGCTGGTGGCATATGAGCTTTCTAGAAAACAATTTGAGACCATATCTCAAAAACTTTTAGAATGGGCAGAACATTTTCCACAATAATATATAGATATCCAAAGAGCTGTCATCCCAAGGAAACACCTATAAATGTCAATGTCACCTCGTTGTTTATAATAGCAAAGAACAAAGAATTTAAATGTCAAAGAAAGGGGGTTGATAAATAATTTCTGGCTAAGTTACACAGTGGATTGTTATACACAGAGTGTGACCTGAAGTCGTACAGTCCTGATTTCATAAATCTATCCAAATATACACTTTTAAAATCCTAAAATAAAATACACCAAAACTCCAAATGCAGTAACCCCTCAGTGGTGAGATTAGTCATTTGAATTGTCTTCTTCATACTTGTCTGTATTTTCCAAATTTTCTGTAAGCATGTGTGCCTTTTATCATCAGAGCCAAGGCTTTTTGCAATGACACGAGGGCCACCCTCTCAGACACTGGGCCCACTAGGACCGGAGGCCCCTCTGCACTCACAGCTAAGGCCATTCCTGGACATGAGAAATCGTGATTCTGGGACCTGCCCACCTCCCAGGGTTCACTGGGCTCCCCTCCCATACAACCCAGTCTCTTGAGGAGTCGGGGGCTGTCTCTGGCAGGTGATCCCCGTTGTCCCGTCCTGAACAGAGCCAGCTGGCATTTTAGCAAAACGTTCTAAACAGTTTCTGACCCAGAGGAACCTGGAAACTTCAGCCTCTTGGCCCAGCCTTGAAAACAGCTTTGCCAGGCTCATCCTGGTACAGGGCCTGGGAGATGATCAAGCCCATTGTCCAGGACAGAAAACTGAGGCCACCCAGGACTGTGCCACATCTGGCCATCCCCTGGTGATCCCATTAAGCCTAAGTCCCAGCCTGACGGACAGCCCCACACGGGCTGATCTGTGAGGTTACTGGAAAGAGGAGGCTGGCCTCAGGTTCAGGAGGGCTCCGCATCCTTACATCCCACTCTCCATTCCCAAGACCAAGATGTGTCCCGGTAAGAGCAGGGCTGGTCTACCACAACATGGCCAAGGCACCCTTCGGGGTGGCCAGGAAAAGTCCAAGAGGGCAAGAGTGCCCTCCCTGCCTGTACAGTGCCTCCTCCTTCAAGAGCTTAGGTTTGGGAGCCAGATAGTCCTGGGTTCAGATTCTAGCTTGAGAACTTGGCTTGGCCATTCATGTCTCTGTCTGGGAGGAGCTTTCAGGAAATTACCAGCTCCCTGGTTTGAACCCTAGTAGCCATCACCAGGTGAGCACCTCAGAGAGCTGTGGGCAGCCTACCCGCTATCAAAGGCAGTCTCTACCAGGGCAGGGGAGCGCCGCGGCCCTCCGCTATAGGCTGCAGCCTGGTCTCTGCCTCCTCTCATGGAATCCCACCTCCCACTGGGGTAGGGAGCCACTCAGCAGGGAGCCCATGCCACAGATATGGGGCTCTGAGAAGGAAGCAACTTTGCCACCCCCCTCTACCACCCCCAAAAGCAGGACCTGATTCCAGATGTGGCCTGCCAGGGGGCCACAGCAGGCAGGGACCTCAATGTCATCCAGTCCAGTAGTATTATGTTACTTAGGTGTTAAGATATCACATTTCTTAGCTCACCCTAAATCAACATAAACCTGTCTAGGAGCCCCCATTCAACAAGATGGTTAAGTAATACAATGCCTTTGTGTTGGGTGATCCCTCCAGTGTCAGAGACCTCCATGAGATTCAAGGATGGGGTCTTGCATCATCAAGCCCCAGCAGTCCTCTCTAAGGGCTTGCTAAAAGCTCTGGGAGTTCAGCACTTGGATCCAACCCAGATGATCCAACCCAGGTGATCCTGTGAAGGTGGATGGCTCTGCTATCTTTGTGCCAAGCTTGGAAACAGATATTCTAGTGAACCAGGAGCCTGGGCACCTGCAGTCCCTCTCTCTGTGTGTCCCTGACATCCATGTCCTTCCAAAACCCTTCCCTCACCATGGCCCCTCCAGGGGATGTGTGTGAGTAGGGCCCAAGTTCCTGCCCCTTCTAGAACCACAAAACCCTGACCCTTGCCAGCCCAGCCCACATGCCTCCTTCACGTTAGTTCACATCTCCCCTTAGAGGCCTGCCACTATGAGATAACCAAGCCCGACAGCTCCTGGCTACCTGGCTTTTGAAGCAAATGTCTGGGTGAGGTCTGTGTTCTCTGTGTCCCACATCTTCTCCAAAGAAAGGGGGTTGATAAATAATTCCTGGCTAAGTTACACAGTGGATTGTTATATGTAGAGTGTGGCCTGACCTCCAAAAGCTGTCAGCAAAACTCATGCTGCACTCATAAAGGTTTGGCTACCTCATACGTCTGAGGGAAGGAAAATACAAGGATGCAAAGAAAATGGCATCTTGATAATTATCCTGTCTCTGAAGTGCATGGAAAACGGTCTGGAAGGATGTACACCCAACAGGGGGGGACAAAGGAGGGCTGCCGGGAAGCAAAGGAGACTTTATAACCACTTCGAAAAACTGTATATTTGGGACGTTTTATTACTCATCATGTATTATTCTCATTATTCTTTTTTTCTCCCTTTTTTGGGCTAGTTCTGGCTAAATAACAGAAAACAAAGTAATTTGTTATTTACCAAGCATTAGTTATGTGCCAGGTGACCAAAGCAAATGTGGGATCTTGTATTTACAGTTACGATGTAAATTAAACAATGAGCTGCATTTGGCCAGGCAAAGAGCAATGGAAGCGAACAGTGTCACAGGCAGAAGGAGGAATATCAGCTGGTCCTGGGTGGGAAAGAGCTTAGCAGATTGGAGGAACAAAAATAGGCCAGTGTGGCTAGAGCACAGTGATTCAAGGAGCAGAGACAGAGAGGAGGGTGGAGAGAAGCCTTGAGGCAGATCACATGGAAAGTTAAGGAAGGTTGTGTTCAGGGAGTTTGTGTTTCATTTGACGGTGCTGGGAACCATCAAAGGCTTTTAAGCAGGGAGCAACATGATCAGATTTACATTTTTAGTAGACAACTCTGTCTTCTTGCTGTGTGGAGAATGTTGGAGGGCAAGACAGGAAGTGTTATCAGTTACAGAATGCCAAGAAGAGGAATCTCATGATGCATGATTTTAAAAGAAAAATAAATAAAATGAATGGCACTGTTTCTTACCAGGAGGAGTCTGACATCCAAGGAGATGGGGCAAAAGAATTAGTTGTGTTACCCCAGCAGGCAGGACAGAGAAAAGTTGGTGGCTGAGGCTGTGGGTCCATGGTGATTGGCTGTGCTGCTTGCCAGTCAAGTGATGTGGGCAGCTTGTTCAACCTTTCAAAGCACCGGTTTCTTCCTCTGAAAAGTAGAAGGTAGTTATATCTACCTCCCAAGATTGCCAAGAATATGAGTGAGCTACTGCATGTGTCATATATCATGCTTAGCTCAGTAATGTTACTTTATAACCATCATCGTCATCACCATTAATGTCTTCATCATCATCACCATTATTATCACCACCACCACCATCATCATCACCACTACCATCATCATCTTCAACACCATCATTCATCATCATTGCCACCACCATCATCACCACTATCATCATAATCATCACCACCATCACAATCATCACCATCATCACCAGCACCACCATCATCACCGCCACCATCATCATTACCACTACCATCATCATGATCTTCATCACCATCATTTATCATCATTGCCACCACCATCATCACCACCACCATCTTCATTATCATCACCATTATCACCACCACCACCACCATCAACATCATAATCATCATCACCAGCACCACCATCATTACCACTACCATCATCATCTTCTTCAACGCCATCATCCTCATCATCGTCTCCATCATTGATCCTGCTTCTAGACTCCATCAAAGTCCAGAGTCCAGCATTCTACCCCAACTCACCTCTTAATAACTCTGGGATCTGAGTGGGCCTCGTATCCTCAGTCTCTGTGCCCTCTGTCAGGTTGTTCTCACAATTGTGGGGCTCCTTGTTCAAACTGAAAATGTGGGACCTCTTCTTCAAAAAGCAGGAAAAAAGTGTCCTTGAAGTTACTAAAATATAGAGCTTTCTTCTTTCTTCCAGTCTTTCTCTCTCATCTTGTTGTGATACTTTTTATTTGCTATTTGATGCCTTGATGCCATTCTAAGTAAAGAAAAATTAAAATTTTTAATTACTAACATGAATTTTACCATTCATCATTACATTGCACAATACCAGTTTTAGATACAAATATAAGAACATTTAACTCATATGGGAAATCATCAGAATTATAATTTGTATCTGATATTTTGTACGTACAAGTATATTTTTGTTGTTGCTAGAACAGTAGAAATGCTGTACAAAAAAAAACTCAACTGCTTCCTGTTTTTATTTCACTCCTGGATAGAATCACATTCTACCAACACTCTCTGCCTTTGCCTTACTGATGGGTAAGGAAGAACTGAAGCAAAAAGGAACTATGGCTACTCCGTCTTCCCCTTTCCTTCTGTGTCATCACTTTCGGTGTAAGTGCTTGGCTAACACAGGGAAGAGACATGAGTAAGAAAAGGCATGACAAGTTTCCTTGGTCGTTTGTGTTTCTTCCAACATCGCTGCCCTTTTTCTGCATTCTAAGCAAGTTCTGGTTTGAATGGAAAGTGTGGCCTGTCAGGGCTGTCTATGCCCTTGCTCACTCAGCTGTGCATACAACACGCATCCCTTGTACTCACTTTGAGTCACCCTTCCATGCATCATGGGTTCCCTGGAACACTCTGCTTGTGGGGCATCAAGAATACCACATGCTGATGAGGCAGCAAGGAACAGCAGGCATGTCTATTGCATGAATCTCCAGCTCATGAGCCCACTCCATGGTCCCATTAGACTTCACCTGCAAAACACCAGTTCAAAGATAAAATTATTAAAATTTCAAGATGATGGCAGAAGAGCATTAACCCAAGAAGCTCAGGGCCTGATCACAGGGCCCTTTGCAATTGCACAGGCCTCAGGCCCATGAGGCTGGCCCTGGCTCTCCTGGAAAATGGGCACAGTTTCCAGCTTGTCCATCTCACAGGGTTATGGGAGGCCTATACACAAGCCAGCGGTGGAAACACTTTGCACACAGTAACTGTGACAGTAACCGTAACTGGACCAATATTCAGCTGCCACACTCCCCCGAGCCTGCAGAGGAAGCACGCCACACCAGGAACGGTGGGCTCCAGCTGCAGCCAACACCAGTGGGGAGCTGGGCAGCGGTGAGCTGATTCGAATTCCAGATGAGTGTGAATGACACAAAATCCATTTTACTTGCAAATTCTGAACTGTGTGCAGGAAGCCAGCAAGCTCAGCATCACAACATGTTTCACCGAGCAGCCATTGGGCTGTAAAACAGACAATCGCTGTTTGCAGTCAAGCTCTGTCGTGCTGGGCAGGTCAAGGCCAGCTCCCTCCTGCCAGGGCTCAGCAGAGGTGTGAGATCCCCTTGTAAAGCCTTGCCAGTGTCTGGGGAAGGTGTCAGGAATCGTCACACCTTCCCCATTTGGAAAGCGATTCTGCAACATGGGAATTCTGGGCTGTTCTGAGGCTCTGTCCAGCTCAACAGGCAAAACAGAAGGGGAAGCCCCCAAGATCCAGCGATCCGACTCTCTACTCACAGCGATGGAACCCGGGTCCATTGGTGATGCTGAGAGAGCCCCTGAGCCCCGGGTGAGCTTCCTCAACTCTAAAGTGGAAGCAAGAGTGTCACAAGGACACCACAAAGGCTTTCTGCCCATGACTGTTCTCACCCTCACATCCACCTAACACGTGGGCATCACAGCCCCCCACTTAACATCGCTGCTCCTGAGGCTTTGCAAAGTTAAGTGACAAAAACTGTGATTGTCCCAGCGGTACATGACAAAATTGAGGCTTTGAGAGGTTAAGCAGTTTGCCTGAGGTCACCAGCAGGGCCAAGGGCCACACCCAAGTCTGGGTAACACCTAGGTCCATGCTCCGACTCAGGGCACAAGAGCTAGGAAGAAATAAGCTCATGTGTGTGACAAGGCATCATGACCTTCACTGGAGCACAGTGTGGGTGGCACTGCTTGCCCTAAACACAGAGGGCATCTCCTGGGCCACTGTCAGGGGAGAAAGGGGGCAGCACTGGGGGAGGAACTATAGCCTATCCACCTCCAGGGCCCCTTGGAGCCTGGTCCAGAGTTGGAGAGGCATTTTTCCCTCCACCCTGCCCAGCTCTCCCCTACCCCTCCAAACACACACATACACACACACACACGCACATTCTATATCTGTGATGGCCCCTCACCAGCTTTCCCCCTTCCTCTCTCTTCAGTCCACAAGTCTTCTCTATTCTCCCACCCAGCCTCCCTTAAGCTCTCCTGCCCCTTTTCCTCACAATGCCACGGCCTGGCTGCAGAATCACCAGGGTTCTAATTCCGCACAGGTTTTATGACCCCAGCTCTGAGCCCCGGACCCCATCTCATGATGATGGGGCTCCCTGCAGCAGAGGGTGGGGTGTGGTGTGTGTGCGTGCATGCATGTGTGTGTGCATGCATGTGTGTGTATGTGTGTGTGAGTGCCTGGCAGGTGGGGCCCCACTGGCCTGCCTGTTCCTTGCCTGTTCACACCAGTATAAAACCAACCGGACAACGGCCCTGCCCACCACATCAGAGAGCTCTCAGGACTCCCACTCTGAGCAGAAGGCTCTGGGGGAAACACTAGAATTTAGTAGGAATTCTAGGCAGAGGGAATGGAGAAAATGTGTAAAGTACATAAACGATAGAATAGCATTCCCAGGTGCCGAAGGAATCAATAAATGTTCAGGTTGTTAAGGCCCCCCAGGTACCAAACTGCATCTGCCCTAAAGACGAAGAAACTCCCACCAACTCCAAATGTTCATCACTCCCCCATTCTCTCTTCATAAATATGACAACCAAACCAGGTAATGAAGGACACCAACTATGCGGAAGGTAAGAACAAACAAACAAAATGCAAAGAACAGGAAGGAACTTTTAAAAAGTTAGTGCTTTTAGAGAAAGTCAAGAAGGTATTGTGTCCCTAAAAAGAAAACAGGGTCTGCTTAAAATGGAGCAATGAGAAAGCGAGAAAGAATTCTCAGAAGTACAATTGCTAAAAGAAAAATTTCATGGAAAAAGATGTACAGTTGAAGAAATTTCTCAGAATATATATCAACAAAACAAAGAGAAAAATACAAGAGAAAACACCTGAGATATATAAGCTCAATCTATGAAGTTCTATATTCATTTACTATGAATTATAGAAAAAATAAAATGGAGAAAATGTATACGTTATACAAATGAGACTATAGCATCTCCCAAGTGCTGCAGGAATCTACACATCTTCTGGTTGACAGGACCTTCTAGATACCAAGCAGAATAAATGAAGAAAGACCTGCCTCCAGATAAACTGTCATAAAAACTGGAACTCCAAGGACAAGGAGAAGATTTTAAAAGCTTCCAGATGGGAAAAACAGATTATTGGCAAAGGAATTACAATCATGTTGGAGTGTGACTTCTTATCAGCAACGTTGAAAACCAGACTAGAGCAATGATCCCAAGTTCTCATTAAAGAAATAAAACTCTAAACTTACAATTCTGTTTTTGAATAAAAACTATTAAATAAGTGTATGGCAAAATAACATTTTCAGGCACAATAATACTTAAAAATCTACATCCTGAATATTCTTTTTGAAAAATACTCTCAGGATATTCTCCAGCAAAATGAATAAGGTATCTAAGCGAGAAAAAAGATATGGGAATTCTAAAAACAGGGTAGACATATCCCAGGCATCCAAAGAAAAACTTCTAGATAACAGAACTAGAAAAAAAAATCTATCCAGATCCTAACAAGGGGTAAGAGAACCCTAGGGGTGGGGGAGTAGGGGCAGAGGTGGGGTGGGGAAACTTTAAGAAGACAACATTTTCTCATTTTCTTTAACAAAAGGTAGGGTTGGAGACTAGATAGTTTAAAGACATAATAGAGGTATATACTGTAGTTCTCTTGTCAAAAAGAAAAAAACATAGCAAGATCCCATCTCTAAAAAAGGTTTTAAATTAGCCAGACATGGTGATAAGCACCTGTAGTCGCAGCTAATGGGGAGGCTGAGGAAGGAGGATTACTTGAAACCAGGAGACAGAGGCTGCAGTGAGCTATAATAGTGCCATTGCATTCCAGCCTGAGCAACAGAGCGAGATCCCATCTCTTAAAAAAGAAAGAAAAGAAAAACAATTAAAAATTCCAGGAAGAAAAATAAAGTTCTATGCTATACTATTGTAAACTGCATTTAAAGGTTGACATTGAGGCTAAATAGTACTTGTTTTGCAATGATAATAAAAATACAGCTTTTAGTGAAGCACAATGTCATGGTAAAAACAGTATTCTTACTAAATTAAAAAACCTATGAAGTGGAAATTTACTTGGAATTGGTGATGGTTCACATATAATTTATAATTGGTTCCAAATAGACTGTGATATTCTAACAATTTAAGTAAAAGCTGTAGTTGCCAACATTTACAAATTTTATATATATGTGTGTGTGTATATATATATATATATGCTATGTAACAAAAATTCTGTGACAAAGCTGATTAAAGATGAAAAAAACCATGCTACAGCATGGGTTGTGTGCTTTCTCTCTTTGCTGCCTGCCATGTATCAGATTTTAGAAAAGTTTGAGCTTTTGAAGTCAATCTGAGTATCCTATGACAATATTAAACTTTTTTGTAAATGAGTCCTCTAAATTTTGGATACATGCTTTTCAAAAAATTGGAGATGCTTGATCAGATTATTCAACACATGATCATTCAGTTTTTGAAGTTTTGAAAGAATTGCAGTAATTGAAAACAAAGCCTACAAATGAAAAGACGTTGGAATTTATCCCAAAAAAAAAAAAAAAAAAAAGCAGAAACTCAGCACGTTAAACAATTAGACCTCAACGTGGAAATTCTATAATGATATTTCAGAATATTTTGACTTATGACAAGACTCTTTTGATGGAGCTTCTATTTTAATTAGAAAGAAATATGTTGTTCCAGGAGGGCATGAAACTGAGAAAGCATACAACTTTGCAGCTTCCAAATTTAACGAAACATTTGAAAGAATCACAAATAAATATAACTTATTTGATGAATTTTGTCTTGTAAAAATATTTGCTGAAGAAAGTTACTCTGAAAGGAGGCAAAAAGACAGGATATGGTAAAATATTTAGGCTGAAACAGTTTCACATTTTAACGTCAAAAAGTTAGCATTGAAAATATCCTTCATTTCCCTTGAGTTGACTAGGGCCTCAACATCTGCAGAAAGAATATTTTCCCAATTCAAAATATTATGATCTATAGTGAAGAGCGGAGTACAGATGTCAATAATTTCAAATTCATTAACCATGATATGTTTCTCGAACTCCTGGCCTCAAGCGATCCTCCCACCTTGGCCTCCCTAGTGGCTGGGACTATAGGCAGGCACTGCTATGCCCAGCTAATTTTTTTATTTTTTATTTTTTGTAGAGATGGAGTCTTGCCATGTTGCACAGACTGCTCTCGAAGTCCTGAGCTCAGGTGATCCTCTGGCCCTGGCCTTCCAAAATGCTGAGATTATAGGCGTGAGCCACCATGCCCAGCTGTTACTTTTTGTTTTAGAAAGAATTTTATTGTTGAAAATAGTTTGTTGTAGAACCATTTATAGAACCAAAATAATAAACAACAACTTGTCAATCAAGAAATAAATGTTTCCAAAATACATAAATTTTTTGTTATTTTAGAATTTCTTTTCACCCTCAAAAGTGCCTTGGTTTCGTCAACGAAATATATGTCATGCTAGCCCTGAAGGATGAGGAGGCATATTCATTGTCCTTTGCTGTAAAACAAATTACCCTAA